GGTGTGCTGGCTAGTTTTATGTCAACTTGACACGAACTATAGTTATCTGAGAGGAAGGAGCCTTAATTGAGAAAGTGCCGCAAGAAGATCAAGCTGTAAGCAGATAAGCAAATGAGGCATTTTCTTAATTATTGATTGATGTGGGAGTGCTCAGCCCATTGTGGTTGGGGCCACTGCTATATGAAAGCAGGCTGGGTAAGCCATGAGGAACAAACCGGTAAGCAGAAATCCTCTATGGCTTCTGCATCAGATTCTGCCTCCAGGTTCCCACCATTAGGTTTGAATTCCTGCGTTGGCTTCCCTCAATGAACTGTGATATGGAGGCCAAAAATATCCTTTTCTCCCCAAGTTGCTTTTGGTCATAGTGTATTGTGGAATATTTATGGTAGGTTGTGAAATATTGATGGTAGGTATGCTGGCTAGTTTTATGTCACACACACAAATAGTGTATGTGTTACATTTGTTTATGTTGTGGAATATTACTTTAATAATGTAAAGATGTGTTACATTTGTTTATGTTGTATTTCTTTAATGGTATAAAGACATGCTACATTTGTTTACGCTGCAGTCCAGCGGTGTTCTCTGGAGCTCTGCTCGGTCCACCTCCACCGTTCAGGGTCCTGGCACAGAGAGAACGCTCGTCCATCCAGCTCTCAGGTCTCCAGGCGCCTCCCCTTGCCCCGCCTCATAGGTGTGATAGTTGCCAGAGTCTCAATTGGGGTTGCAACTTCCAGATCCAAGCTGGAATGGCTACCCATTACATGTTATATTTATTATCACATCAGATTCAGTGGCAAATTCTGAGACCAGGCAGCTAGTTGCAACAGTAACAGCTGAACATCACCAAGACACATGGAACATAGTAAACTCATGCGTCCCAGACCAGTCAGAAACAAACATGCATTGGCCACATACATTTATACATTTACTTGAGCCTGATACAATTTTGTGTGGTTCCATATCTGCAAGAAGTCTTACAAGCACAGACAGATCCATCCATACATACAAAATTGACAAACTTTTTCTAACAAGAAGACAAAACTTTCTGCAGGAAACAGACTTTGTTACAAATTGTATAAATTTTAAACCATGTGCAGGGAGAGAGGTTATCAAAGCAGGCAGGTCATTGTTGGGGTCATCAGGTTGGCTACAAGGCAAGAGAAACCCAGGAGGAAGAAGTCAAGGGAGATGTCCATGTGTATCAGCAGGCCAAAAGAGCCAGGACCAAGTGGAATACAACAGCCTAGATAGAGCTTAAGGTGTGGATCACCCAGGCTGCTTAGAGAGGAGAAAGAGCTGGAGAGATTTCTACTGCTGCAGGAGCCAACAAGCACACTTGTACCCATGTCGATGGTAACACAGGGCAGAGGGAAGCAGCAGCTGAAGAATCGAACTCTAGAATTTGGAATCAAATTTATAGACAAATGATCCATACATACCTTATTGAGATTAGAACAGTAGGTGCTTTAAGGAGAACAGGCACCCAGAAGCTGGCCTCTCTGGCTCTAACTCTCCTGTTGTAACAAAAGTAAGGACAGGGTGAAAGGACCAAGCAGACGCCATAACAGGCTGTCAGTCTTCTCTCAGAGATCAGGCCTCAATTTCAGTTTCCTGAGACTTGAGCAAGCAGTTTCTGGGAGGGCCATGAACAAAAGACATAGTCCTTGCAGTAGCTCCCTTTCTGCACGTACTCTGACTGCTCAAGGTTCAGCCAGTTGTTTGCTGTCTGGGAGCTCTCACCAAATTAGAGCTATGTGCATGAGTCAATGTGAATATGTGAGGCCAGCCAGCCTCCATGGAAGCTCAAGGACAAAGCCTGGATCTTGTCCAGGCTTGCCCCAAAATGATAACTGTAACCCCCGACCAGTAAATTCAAAGGTTACATACCCTCACCCAATCATATGATGTAAAGGCTTGTACCACCCTGCTGGTGGTTTTTCCCTTTAAAAATCCCTCACCCTGATAGCTCAGGACTGTCCTCCTCCACCCGCACACGGACCAAGCCTGGGCTTGCTTATCAATAAACCCCTGTGTGTTTTGCATTGTCTTGCTCGGGGGTCTTGCAATGTGGTCACAACAAGGGCATTTATGAAGTTTAGGGTAGGAGAGCAGACAGAAACAAATAAAGAGAGCAGATATCTGTTTTGGGTGGAGCAGATGGGTAGGATTGATAGACCCCAGACCCAGGGTCCTACCTTCTCAGGTGGGCACCCCAAGAACCCAGACTCCGGTCCAGTTGATGCAAACAGCAAGAGGTTTATTGATGCGGCTGTACAGTCGGGCTACTCTCCTCAAGAGCAAGAGTCGCGCCCTACTGCAGCCACATAGGTACTTTTAAAGGAAAAGAAAAACCCACAAAAGCCATACGATTATAATTCCCATGCAATTCGTTCCAGTTGGTTCATGTCTAGGGGCTACTTTCACAAGATCATGGCTTGAGCACAGGTTGGTACAATCATGTCCACATGCACAATTTTCCCCGGAACCTCTGGGGGGTATCAGGGAGGGAGTGAAGGTTACACAAAGGTTACAGTGGTCTTTCCTGGAACACTTACAATTTTCCCAGTCACAGTTGAGCAACATAACTTAACAGAAATCTCCATACATTGTGGTAAGGGTGGTTGAGTAATGGCTGAGTCAGTTTGCCCTTGGAACTAGCTTTTTAGTTCTTCATTCTCCTGGGGCTTTGGGGTGTAAGCCTGAAGGGTTAGGGTCTTTCAGGATCCCAGCATGGCCAGACATAATGCCAGGAGAGCCTCGTGATTATTTGCCACCAGTGAAAAGATTTTTTTAAAAAAGATATATTTATTTATTATGTATACAGTGTTCTGTTTGTATGTATGTCTGCACACCAGAGAGGGCACCAGATCTCATTACAGGTGGTTGTGAGCCACCATATGGTTGCTGGGAATTGAACTCAGGACCTCTAGAAGAGCAGTCAGTGCTCTTAACCTCTGAGCCATCTCTCTAGCCCCCAGTGAAAAGATTTTTTAAAAAGTCAAAGTGGGTACCTTCTGGTGGGCCCGGCCAAGGTATGGCATTAAGAGATCATACCATGTGCAACAGAGTTAGTATAAGAGGTTTATTGAGGGAGGGGGGGTGAAAGAGTGAAAGCCCACATTGGAGTGGGCACATGGAGAGGTGGACAGACAGAGAGACAGAACAGGGAAGAGACAAGAGAACCAAGAGGAAGGGAAGAAGGGGGGGGTGCCAGTGACTCGGCAGCTCAGTCAGGGTGGAGGGCTCAGGGTCAGTCCCTGGGAGGAAAAGCATCTGGAGCCACCAGAACCCTGGACAAAAAAACCTAGGCCACCAGCACTGGCTACAGAGGGAGGAGCAGGAGGGCAGAGGTCAAAATCCCTGGATAAGGGAGTTCAAACCATTGTTTATAGCGAATGGTAAGAGACAGTCCATAAATTTGGATACATTTTGCAGCAGACACCCCAGGGGTCTGAGGATCAGGATTAGATCCAGTGTTGCCCATTTCTAAGGCTGTGCTGGAGACTGAAGGCTAGGATGAGGCATCCCACTCGAAAGCCTGGAATCCAGCAGTAGGGATGGGTGTAGCCTTTGGGAAGGACGTCTCCTAACAAAAAGGTCCCCCAGAACAGAGACTGCTCCAGAATGGACGGGCTTTCCCTGCCATGGCCAAGGCTTGGCAGGGGATTCTAAGGGTCCTGGACCCAGAGAGAGATACCCAGTACTTCTGTAGGTGGTGACTGAGTAACAGATAACTTGTCCTGAGCTAAAAGTTGATCATATCTGGCAGAAAGAAAGATAAAGCGAGTGGCTTCCCAAATTGCTGGAGCCCAGCAGGTCGGAGAGCTCAGCTATTCCTGGGTTTCAGCACCAAGATAATAGGTTTTCTGTCCCCAAATAACAGGTTTCTCTCCTGATGCAGGAAGCCAGATCAAGCTGAATTGAAAAAGTGTAACAACATTATTTGAGCAAAGCAAATCCCGGGTTGGTTCTCCAGTCCCGAAGACCAGGCAAGGCCAGAGAAGCCGAACAGGCGCCTGAACTAAAGCAGGGAGATTATACAGCTTGTAGGCAAGGGGGGATGATGTGTCTGCCATAAGCTGGGTTTGTGTCCAAGTGTGTTCAAAAGTTGACCACGTTAGGTGGGGACTTGGACTTCAGGGTGGGAACTGCCTTAGCTGCCTTAGCTGCCAAGAATGCAGAACTGGGCTTTTGGATGCCTTCCCTTTGTTCAGAGATTCTCTGAGTGGGCGGGGCTTGGAAAGACAGGACTGGGCCTCTGAGACAGTTCAGGAGCTGCAGGAGCAAGATGGAGGTTCTAACCAAACACCGTGTTTTGGCGGAGAGCCTACCGCGATAAACTGGGTATAAACTGACAAAGCGAGTTAGCAGGGTCAGGGTGGCAGAGAGCTGTCATCCAGATCCCCAGAGGAGACAGCTGCCGGCAGGATGCAATGCCATGGCTGAATACTGCCTGGAAGTCACACCTTAGCAAACAAGGGGAACCTAGACAACCGTGATCAGGAGGACCCTCTGGGTCAGAAGTGACATAACGAGAGACACCAGATGTCACTGCATTGCTAGAGATGAAGTTGCAAGAGAGAGAAGCAGCGTCTCGGGAGGCAGCACGGAGCCACACCCCACCTGCCCAGGTATCTGTATCTTGCAGGGTGACATGGTCAAGCTGCAGGGACCTAAGAAGTTCTGGAGTCCCCGTTGCTTGGGACAGCGACTGGAGCCAGCCTTAGTCCCAAGAGTTGTATGTTTGAGACACTCCAGCCACACATCCTCTCCCTGGCCCTGAGGGAACATGCCATGCTTGGCCTCCACTTGCTAATACTGGTCCATGGGACTGGGTCTAGCCTTTGCCAGGAGGGGACACACACCCTGTTCAAGTCATGAAAATCACTCCCACATCATCAGAGCCACAACCTTGCCACCTTCAGGAAGGTGACTTTAGTGGAAACAGGGCTCCATTGCCTTGATTTGTCACCCACTGTCAAACAGACAGCAATCCAAAGAACCTGGAATACGTGCCTTTATTATTTGTCCACTGAAATATCAGGGTTTCCTTGTTACAGTGCAGTGAAATGGAGTGTGACAGATGTGGAAAGAAATAAGATCAAAGTCTGGGTTCCTGAGCACAAGGGAGAGGGTACGTGAAACGAAATACAAAAAAATCAACAACCCTTCCGACAATGCCGTCCAGTAAGAATAGGCCTGTCCTTTGGAATCCCATAGCCTCATAGAGGCTCACAGCACCTTGCTGTATGACACTGGTCTCAAGGACAACGTCACTGTAGCCCTGGTCCCGTGCAAACTGGAGGACAGTTCTGACCAGGGCTTTCGCTATCCCCTGTCCTCGATGCTGTGAGGACACAGACAGGCGAAAGAGCTGCAGCTGCTTCCTCCCTGACGGGGGATCCTTGACTGGCTGAGCAGCCACTGTCCCCACTACCTGTCCCCCAGACTCAGCCACCCAGAAACCTGCCCCAGACACATTCAAGTAGGACTTGGTGATGTCAGCCATGTCTGTGTGCAAACACATGGACACATAATTCTTCCAGGGTTGGCCTGCAAGGAACCGCAAGAATAGAAGCAGAAAGACAATGCATACAACAGCCAGGAGCCAGGAGCCAGACACCAGGACTATGGCAAGAGGCACCCCAATTAAGAGCAGGAGGGTTCGGGGCAGTTTCAGCAGGTGGCGGAAGGTGGCAGGGGTGTGTTCCTCCATG